ACATACTGCTGTGCCACTGGGGGGCATTATACTAGAGTAAAAAACAATAAAATACTATGCATTTCAGAAACACCTAAAATATTAGTTTCTCTTCCGAAAACAGCTGCATCATGTACTTCATACTAAAATGAATATAAAACAAGAAAAGAAAAAGGACAACCGTATTAGTAAACTACAACTGCACCTTTCAAAATTGTATCACTGTTACTCTTGTCAGGCTAAGTATCATGATTTTCACTTATCTTGGTCAAGATCAATTTACATTTATAGATATAATTTGTTTTCACTAAACAATAATTTCTTATTTACATGTTAGGTAAAATAAACTTAACAACAATATTCAATAAACAAGGATTTTAATCATCTGATCATTTTGCTATGACCTACTATGTACTCATTAAACCTAACCAAACTTATATTATGTCTTTTCATTGAAAAAAAATTCTGTACTTTTCAAACAGATTCAAATTAACATGTAAATATGTTCAGGAATGAAAAGAACATTTAAAGAAACTATAAAATACTTCCCAGATCCATGGTTTATTCTTAAGTCTTCAAAACTTCCCATTAGAGATTTCTTTGTTCACCATCCACTAGAGCTTCATGCAGCAAATATTATGAGAAAAAGCAAATTATTAGTCAAACTACTTTATTTAGTTGAGATTAAAGAAGATAGATTATAATCTGCTCTACCCAATCATATTTAGCCATTGGTTTTAGCTGTTTTCAAAGCTGAGCTTCATTAGTAATTATTCAGACATCATAAAGTGTTCCAACAAAAAATTAAGAAATATTCCAACTTTCATTTCTGCTCAGCGCAGAGAGTCTTGCATGTAAATAATACACTTATAGATTTTTAATTTCTTCCAACCATCCCAAACTATAGGTTTGTATTTGCTAAATAATTATCCACACTATCCATTTCATATTTTCTCAGTGATTTTCCTTCTCTGTTAGTGATTTTATTACTACAAGCTTCAGTTTAAAGAACTGCAAGTTTCTTTATAATTTCCTTAAACTTTATTTTTGTTCCTGAAAATTACAGAAATCTTCTGTAAGACATCAAGTAAACTTAGTTATGTTTAACTGGTACTGAGCATACACAGTTAATAATAAAAAAAAATACAAAATGTGTATCCTACACAGACTTCCCACAACTGTGTACATCTATATTTCTTGCATGAAATATGCATTTTCGTTTGCAAAAGTATAACCCCTGTTTTCTTTAACTTTTTAAATTTGATACGCAACTATTTTCTCAACATCTAAGAGATACTCACCAGTCATGATAGGATGCCATTTTTTTCTTATATATATATCAGGAATTATTATTATTACACCTGGTATGAAACAAGTTTTAGGAGACCTCCAGTGTTCTTACAACTTCACTAAAGTAATAGATCAAGAGATAACCTAATCACAATAAAATCTAATTTTCAACAAGCACACCAGGATTCATCTTCATCTGGTGAATAACTTTTATCTGTTGGTTTACCATAAGATTTTCCAACAGAAATAACACCAGACTTCAAATTAGTGCTATCACCTGTGCCCTGTCTGTGTAGATGTGGAGGCATCATTGGCTTGGAATTTTTCAGCTTATGTGCCAAAGTCATAAATATTGCTTCCACATGATCAGCTTCATTATCATCTTTTGCAGAAGTCTCAAAAACTGGCATGTTGTGAAGGTCAGCAAATTTCTGAGCCATGTTTGTATTGACAGCAATTCGATCTTGGCAATCACATTTATTACCAACAAGAATACGTGGAATGAAGGTAGTTAAGTGATGCTGGTCACACTCTTCAACCCAGTGTGGTAAACTTTCAAATGAAGCAATTTTAGTTACATCATAAACAAATACCACAGCATGAACATTTCGATAATAATGTTGGACCATGCTTTTCCTAAACCTTTCCTGGCCTGCAGTATCCCAAAGCTGCAGCTGCAATAAAAAACAAACTATTGATAACTTATTTTCTTTCCATTTATACAACATAATTGTACGTTAACTGAATATACATGCAAAGTTAAATCTGAATTAAGTATAAGACATAAATGAAGAGACCATCTTAAGCTGATATCAGATGTTGTAGACATTGAAAAGGCAATAAACTGGTGTGTTGCCTTCCCTCATCACCCATGAAGCTAAAGACTGTGGGTTTTAGGCTTAACATAAAATGTAGGCCTGAAATTCCAGCTAAATATGGAGAAAGAATGAACTAAACATCGGGAATTATCAAAGAAAGTTGATATATGTATAAAGAACAACAACCTGTGGTCTTAAATTGTTTTATGATGACCAGTATGAAAGATAAAGAGTATAGATGATAACACCAAAACATAGAAAGGAAATATAACATAATATGTTCTTGAGAGATGCTTTTGACATTTTAAAAGATGTCCACCTTAAATACACTGTTGACTTTTTCCACAATTTTACGAAGTGTACACTAAAAATGTATTGTTGTTTCATGATACAATGCTTCAAAAGACCAGTGTTGCTATATGAGCTACAATGTACATAAGTTTGATTCTCAATTTGAAAGCTTTAAAGATTCAGTATAAATCTGAAACTTTCTGGCAAGCTATAGTGTGTGATGACTATCAGGATGAAAAACAAAAAACATTTGCCATAGATGTGAATCCACAGATTATTGAAACTTAGAGAGAATGGGCTCTGCGGAAAAAAAATATTATGATAAGGAAAAGAAGAAAAAAGGTGTACGGGTAAGGTGCTTGGCTTGGGGATTGAAAGAAGTGTTACAGAATGACATGGACAAAGTTTTAACCTATATCCACAGAGAGTTTAAGCCAAAGATTCTGAGGATGACATATCTAATGATAATGTCTGTATATTGCAAAGGACTTTGTACTAAACTATCTGTGTGAATGCCAAAACACCAGAACAAAGTCTAAGATACTCTGTGGACCCATGAAAATGCCATGCTATATACAGTGTTAATACCTATCTCATATTTAGAGACTCCAAAAATAAGGGTAAAGACACTGTATGTGATTTTGTCAACTACTAATTATTTAATGAAACAAGACAGTGAGGCAAATGAGGAAGTTATTTGGACAGATTGTCCTTCCTATTCATTCAACAATTGGTATATGATTAGGCTTTTGCAAATTCTTGGGCAAAAATATAAAAAGAAATTCACTTGAAAGTACTTTGCTACATGCATGGTAAGGGATTGATGGAATTGGAGGCAAACCTAAAAGCACTGTACATTCAGCAGTCATGAGTGAGGCTATAATTTTGTCACAGAGGTCACAGATTCTGTGATTTTATGAGATGCCCATGATATCTTGAAGATTTCAGATAAAAGCATAAAATTTGAGGAGGGGGGGGGGGAAGTTGCTTACTTCCTTTAAAATCTGCATTACAAAAACTTAAAAAATATGTATGCTCTTCATAGGAAGAGTAGGACAGCATGAAGAGTGTGAGTGAGGTTCCATTAGAGTGAGAGAAAAAATGGAAAAGCCAAATACAAGCAAGGTGATTAATAGTATTGCTAGGCAGAAAAGTTGTAAATACCCAAAGGGAACATTTAAATAAAAATGATAGATTAATGTTTTGTACAGCATGTAATGTCCCTGTAAATTACAAGTAAACAACAAGCTGCAACAAATATCTAGAATGTGTTTTACATAAAGGTAAGGCACAAGGCCTTGAATCGGCTGTGGGTAGGAAAGCAAGGATACAGAAAAGAGCAAATAAACTGTTTACTGTAAAGCCTGAAGAACAGATGCATCATAAGACAGAAGTTTACCGACTTACACAGACTTTATGCACTGCTAACATTTCACTACATGTCTAGACAACCCTATTATTAAAGGCTATCTGAAAAGTTCCCTGAAAAACATTGATGTTATACCTTTCTCAGATCATCTCCGAGAAAGTTACTTGCCAAAGCATTTTGAAAGAAATGTAGTGACATGAAACAACTGCTTAGTCAACATTTAGGAATTAGGCTTTTTACAGATGAAATTACTATATATTGAGTATTTTGGCAGTACCATGTCTGTCTTTTGAAAACATTTCAAACCAAGAAAGGAAATGCAGTTTGGAACTGAAATCTTTGTTAATAGAATGTGTATGTTTGGAAACTGTTAATTCAGAAACTGTGATTTAGGCAGTGGTGGAAACTGTTTAGAAATACAGAATTTCTTTTGACAAAATCACTGCCTTTGTCACTGACAATACTACACATAACAAAACAAACCTTGGGAACAAAGTCTCAAAGCACTTTTTCTGAATGCAGTTCACATAACAGGCATGGCATATATTCTAAACTTAGTGGGTGATACCTGGATAAAAACATTTGAAAAAGTAGATGAACTGGTCATTGCCACAAAACATGCATTCTAAGCCTGCCCTACCCACAAAGCATGGTTCCATCACTCATTACGACAAAGAGGGAAAGTGCCTGCAATTCTACCTTCACTGTTAATCACACAGCGCAACAGCTTGTTTGAAGTTGTCCATTTTCATGCAAGAGTAAGTGGATTTCCTTTTGAGGAGGAGTGTGAGCAAAACCGCAGTTCATCTGTTGAAGATGTGGTCACTAAGTAAATCAACAGAAGTAAAAGCAGTTGTTGCAGCAAAAGAAGCATTTGCACCAAGAATAATTCCAACTCTCAATGCTTACAAAAAACAGAAGTCAAATCACATATGGTAGAAAATGATTTGGCCAATCTTACCAGTTGGGAAAAGTTATTCAGTAATAAAACTAATAACCTGTTTGCTAAGAACACCCTTTGCAAAACAGTGATAAAATTGAAGACTACATGACTGGTTCTGAACAGCTTTGTCAATCAGCTGTTAATGTTTTGAAAGCCTGCATAGCATTTGATCCCAATCAGGCCAAACATCTCAACCTTATATTGCTAAATGTCTATTCCCATGTTTGAAGACAGTGCTTTGACAAAATCTGAGTTTTGTAGATACAGCAGTGCAGATACTGAAATGAGGTGTTTATCACTACCTGTGAACAGTGCAGATTGCAAGAGATCATTTTCCTTTTACAAAGATTTCTTGAAAGATGACAGACACTCAATGAAATGACAACCTGGCAATGTACACCATTCTCTTTCAGAACTATAGAAAGCTGTATGTAAATGACAATTTTACATAATAACAATCTCGTCAGTAGTCAAGTTTACATTATAAGATATAATAGACAATTTAAAATATTTGGTACTGATGTAGTTAAAACTGCAATACCTGCATATATTTCCATGTGTTATTGCTTATTGCCTGTGTTCTGTCAATGACTTTTACCCATACCAAAATCAGACTTAATCATGAGTAAAAGCTCCAGTTGGTAAGTCATCTGCTGCTGTACCTGAGAAATCACTGAAAGACATTGTGCTTCATGTGTCTCAAGAGCAAATTAACAATTGCATTTTTCTTTGACTGTAAGTTTTATTTTAATAGTTTCCAACTATGATCTTTCCCATATATACTTCAATAGTGACACTTGTGTCACAAAACTGTCAATTCATATGAGAATATTGTTTCCACTGCACACACACACACACGTATATATGCAAATGTGTTTTGCCACGACAGTAAAAACAAAGTTGGCACAAAACATTTCTGACAGTTATGATGCTAAATGTAAAAAAAGACTGACTTATTTGATCATTCATATTACTACAGTAGCAAGTTCCAATTTATATAAGCACCATTACTTATCAGCCATAATTCTAAATGTTGATAACTATGTACACTGTAACCATAACTTTTTGAACCTATAGAAAACAAAGCTACATTTTTCATTTCCCAAAAGTCCAAAAGTTTCTGACCTGGTTTTAGACTCAGATAATAATTTATTTAAAAAAACAGCAAAGAATTGGGGCTGAGATCATTTTGAAATTTAGAAAGGGATTAATCATTTTCACAAAACTGAATCAGAAAATATTATTCTTAACTTTGTTTAATGCAAAGTGGAGTTTATTATGAAACATTTCTATAAAATCATGACCTATATCTCCAGAATGTAACTTTATTAACTCAATATTTTGCTATTACAGCTTTGTCAGGAGCTATCGATATCCTACAAGTCCCCTAATCTAATTAAATCTAAATTGGAACACTGTCATTCGTAAATCAAACATTGATACACATGTTTAGAAAGTTCATATTGTATTAAAATAATATCAACCATTCTTGAATTTATATTGTTAAGACAAGTCAAACCAGCAATGCTAAATAAATAACATATGTAAACCAATAAGTAAACTATTAACATCATTGGATTTAGAATAGAATACATTAAGTACCTAAAACATTTATTCATATTTGTATTGGTGAGTATTTTTCCATCTTATTATATCAATACAAACATAAAACAATGTCTGAACATATATTTCAACCTTTATAAATGTTTATACAAACTTTGTCAAAGTTCAACATATTAAAATCTTTAAAATTTGTATTTGTTCAATTTAGATTTATTTTTCTTCATTAAAATTAATTCTTGAATTTTTCTGTTCCCGAAAATTATGATATTTATGACAGTTTTTGCCTCCAGCAAAATGTTGTTTGCTCACTTATTATATTAAATCTGGTTGAGCTAGGCAAAGCCCAGAGTAAGATTAAAAAATCATTAATCCTTTCAAATATGAATTTTGAAGCACAAACAATTCATAATTAATTAATATGTAAAAGCAAATCCTAAATGCAATTTAACTGTTTCTCGAACTAATATGTATAAGGCAAGAAAAAAACAGCCAAGCACTAGTGACAATGATGTCCAACAATATACTTACGAATTGTACACCTATGTAGTCAATGTTAATATCATGGTAGGTTGGAGATAATTTACAGGAAAGCTTCTGCAAAATCTGCTCTTTCTACCAGTTATAAGCATGCTATTCAATTCAAAATTGTTGCTTGGCAACACAACTTCTACTTTGCAAGTGGACATGGCTTATCTTGAACTCAGGAAATTTTACAACTGTTTCATCTAGAACAAGTTCTTAGAATGTTCTCGAATTACTTATAAACAACCTGTATATACTGTACTTTGAATGTCTGAACAGAAACATCTAAATTACACATACAGTTTCTTTTATACCAGTTCTTAAAGTTGATAGTTGTAACTGCGATGGCACCTGTACAAAAAAACTTCAATTTTAATTATTATTTTAGAGGTTTCTTTTGAAATAAAGGAATAAAACTTAGATAATATATAACTTCGAATTATAACATACTTGATAATAATAATTACATTAAAATACATTGACAGTAAAGTGGTTCAATTAAATTTTGAACATAATGTAGCAACATGTGCAGAAAGGAGTTTAAAATGGTGTCATCTTGATAGAATTATAAAGCACATGAAATATCAAATAAATGAAGTTTCCTGTATTCCTGTAATAAATAAACCAGAAATAGGCCACCATATAATGGTTGAATACAAAAAAGTTTTAGGAGTTGATGAAAAATACATCAAATTGCACAAGTTGCTGTATAACTCAGAAAAGTACTTTTCAGTGAGAATGATCCCCCATGCTTTGTTTTATTACTCATACAGGCTTTTAGATATTTTCAACTGGCACATATGCACATATACGTGAATGATACACATACTGGCAAATAATACGGAATATTTGGTATGCACAATTTTTATTTCTAATGGATTTTTTTTATGTAAAATAATTTGTATTTACATAGATATGAATATCATCTGGAGCAATGATACTAAATCACTCATAACATAAAAACATCACAGGAAACAAAAGAAACAAGTCACATCAAGCTTGAACTTTGGTGAATAAGGACAATAGTTAAAATTTTCCTTAACTAAAAATGTATTTCAAGATAGATACTTCCCTTTCCACAGAACAAACAGCTATCACCTCAGCAACTCTCACTTCTACACATAATAACATGAGATGTGCTAGTCTATGATTCAAACAATAGGAGGGTGATACATCCTCCTTGCACAGTATGCCCCTTGAGCACTGTGTAAACCAAGATGAAGCAAACAGACAGACTGGAAGTGGAAAGGGAGGGTGGATGGTTCTGTAGAGAGGTGTCTATTAAAAATGCATTTGCAACTAGGGAAAATGTTAACTTCAAACTATGTTACTTACCTCTCTACAGAAAACACAGCAAGAATCCCACATTCAAAAGACAGTGAATGGACCAATATACATAAAGAAGTTAAAAAGATGAACTCCTTTCTGTCACTGTCAATTCATTTTTGGGCCTACCTGTAGTTATCAGCAGGAAAACCCAAAACTTTCTTAAATCACCCATAGGATTGTGTGAGTTTTGCCTTCATGCAGAGAGCTGCCATTTTGGAAAATAGAAGTTGTGACACTGACATAATTGCTCATGCACAATACAGCAGTGTAACACTGTGATAATGGTATTGTGATGTTTTATTTCACAAAAAAAATGAGAAAAAAACCCATATATGAAACTCAATCCATAGAAAACAGCAATATGGCCTTAGGCTTTATAAACTAATAAAAAATCATAGTCACTGTTGCCAGCCTGTAGTACTTGACAGGTATGCCTACAGTTATTGCCTGGTACCTAAAGAGATGGTATTCTGTGAGTTGTAGTATTTTTGTGAAACTTTTTTGGGGGAGGCAAACAAATTTAAGGTGGCACTTGCCATCCATTGCTGCACCCTGACATTTCCACTGTTAAGAAACAATTACAAAATTAATGATTCATATAACCTTCAACTTCGTCACCTTATCTTCAAGTACGTGTATAGTTTACTTACCTTAATTTGTTCACCCTCTACTTCAACTACTCTTTCCCTAAAATCAACTCCAATAGTTGCTTCTGTTTTTGTAGGGAATGAGCCACTACAGAATCGATAAGTCAGACATGTTTTTCCAACATTGGAATCTCCAATAACTATAATTTTAAAAATTCGTTTTTGCTTTTCTATGCTGATTAAACTTCGAGAAGAATTTGCTTTTTGCTTAGTGATATCACCCATCTTCCTGAATAATGTGAATTCTACAATAAAATATAAAAAATAAAGTTAAAACAATTATAATTACAATAAACTGCACATATTAACAAGGAAGACAATTTTACACACACACACACACAAAATTATTTATATCCAATGAATTTTGTCATTTTCAACAGAAACAGCTTTTTCTAACCTATGTTTTTAATAACCTGTCTTGTAATATACAATATTAATGTAATTTAGTATATTTTTATATAACTGATATAAATAAATTGTAAACTGTTTAACACCTGCCACACAAGCCAGTCCCATTCCAGCATCTTTTCATACCAAGTCTGGGGTGGAGTGGGGGTGGGTCATTCCATAAATTGGTGTTTTAGGGTTATTTCAGTAGATCTCAATAAATGAAGGGCAGCACAACTTCTACAGCCTCCTATAGTTATTGTATCAGTATTCTTGTTAGTAACAACCCTGATATTGTATCTTTATTTTCATTTAGTCAAACTTTTAGAATCATTCTACTGGTGGTGTGATAAAACCTGTTGTTTAAAATTATTTTAATCTTACTGTAAGATAATATAGATTTAAAGAACTACATTTAGTTTTGATCCTCCATTTGTTGTTTTGATGAGATGAAGGGTAACCTTAATGGGACAAATACCTTCTGTTACCTTGCTCATTCTTATGTTCTTGTACTTATATTAAACCACCACAATGCAATTCTGAAGCTAATGTGCCATTTAAAATATAATTACAGAACATTGAATTTTAAATTACCTTTACAAATATTTGTCCTTGAAGCAAGTACATCTATACTGACAAAAGTCACTAAGTCATGTAAATAAAATGAAGTCTTAATAATTCTGTTTAAAAGATAAGTCAATTTACCAAAAACTTCAGGACTAAAAACAAAAATGGCAAAAGTTTTCTGAATATATAATTTATTTTCAGGCACATTGTGGTACTACATTACAAGAAAAAAACAACAACACAAAACTTATGTTTTGGGGCACAATGAAGGATAAAATCTTTATTATTAGTTATATCCAACTAGTTTTGGTAACACAGTTTCCACCATCAGAGCTAGTATCTACAGTAACTAATAATAACATAATGTTTTGGTATTGTTGCGTCAGCGAGTCACGTGACTACTATGACGCAACGTTTCTA